CCTTGATATTAAGGGCAGTCACTCTCACCTCACCTCTGGAATTCAGCTCTTTTGTCCATGTTTGAACCAAGGCTATAACAAGTTCAGGAGCTGAATGGCCCTGGAGGTACCCAAAGTGGACGTCACTAAGCAGGTTATTGCTCACAGTCCAGCCACTCTGGTTCTCATCTACTGTCACAGGACTTTACTCCTTACTCTTCTTCTTTCCCATCCCTTTGCTGTTCACCCCTATTTCCATATCACAATTCAGCCAATAGTCTTCACCCTTCTTTTACCCAGTAACATTTAATGCCAATTTCATTCGTTGTCCCCTAAATTTATAGGAGGCAGTGGAGTAATGTCACTGGACTGGAATTCAGAACCCCAGGCCAATGTACTGCATACTTGATTTCAAATCCCACCATGGCAGATGGTGAAATGTGAACTGAAGAAACGAATAGAATTGAAAATGATGACCACTGTTTGATTGTCATAAACACCTTTCTGGTTCTTGTTTTCCAGCCTGGCCTATGTGTGACTCCAGAACCACAGTAATATGGGTGACTCTTAACCACCCTCCGTGTAAAATAACGTTGGGCAATAAATGCTGACCTAACTAGCATTTCCCACATCCTACGAATGAATTTTAAAAATTGCTCCTAATTTTTTGGTTTTTTTATCAAATGTCTGCGGTATCAATGCAGGCTTTTCTTGAGTTGGCTAATGCTGTGCTTCAACCCCAGATTTTTACAAAATCTTTGAACCACACTGTTCAGGATTTGACTCCTTTCTCCATTGTCTTTTGTGTCTTTCAGTTTTACTGTGTCATGAGCAAAGGAGTTACAATATTATGAATTCTTGTAAAAAAGAACTGGACTCTAACGAGACCACAAGGAGGTAAAATAATGGCTGCTATAAGTCACCTGTATAAACAACTGCAAGTGGTAAGTGGATTACAAAGAGAAATACACAGACAAAAAAAGATTCAAAATGCAGAAATGAGCAAACAGACAACAGAGCTGTGACAATTCACACTTTGGATAGAAACAACAGATGGAGGAAGAATATAAAGAGACTCAGCGCAAGTGACTTCTGTGCATTGTGAACCCTTGGCTCCTCAAAATTAACGTTCCACCAGTTTAAGCTTTGAACTGTATAAAGAAAACTGGCAAAGAACTGCCAGTGTGTAGAACTCCATGGGGACGGCTTTGAGAACCTTTCAGAGTGGGAGTTTTAATTCAGGGAGGATAAAGAAAACAGATATACTGATGCTAAGTGCTGTTCTGTTTAAAGAAGCCAGGCAGTGTGAAAGTGCCAAAACCAAAACCTAGAATCACAGAATCCCTACAGTGTGGAAGTAGGTATTCAGCCCATTGAGTCCACATCGACCCTCTGAACAGCATCCCACCCAAACCCACCCTCCTACCCTATCCCTGTGACCCTGCATTTCCTGTGGCCAATCCACTTAACCTGCACATCTTTGGACTGTGGGAGGAAACCGGAGCACCCGGAGGAAACCCACGCAGACACGGGGAGAACGTGCAAAGTCCACACAGGCAGTCACCTGAAGGTGGAATTGAACCTGGGTCCCTGGCGATGTGAGACAGCAGCAGTAGCCACTGAGCCACCTAACTAGTGAAAAAAAAATCCTTCCCTCCCTCCCATAAATGTGCTGCGCTGCTGCTCTACTTGTATAAGAAAATGCCAACTGTCAGACTACAGAAGTCATCATAGCTGCTGGCTCTGACCTCAAGTATTAATCCCTTTGCTTTAGCAACAAAGAATTCAAGTAATGGGCCCCAGTAGCATACCATAGAGACTTCTTTGGATTTTAAAGTTTTTGAGAAGATTTGTAGCTCGGGTTGTGGATGAGGTTGTAGACATGCTCACCGAGCTGGTGGGTTTGATTGCAATCATTTCGTCACCCTGCTAGGTAACATCATTGTTATCTCTTTGTCCTCACCTTCAAAAGTAACTTTATCATAAAAACTAACCTTTAACCTGTTTAAATGAAAACTTGACTGTTGGTCTGCTTTAAATTGAATCATTAAAATTAAAAGGCATCTACACCAGCTATATTAATGGACTGTTCACTAACCACATGGTGGACATGTCTGGAGCTTGTGACAAACGTTTGAACCAAAAATTCCATGATGAAACTTTCCACCACACATCTGAACTGTCCTGATTTTCTTTAAATTCAGGATCATAGTCATAGACTCATACAGCACGGAAACAGGCCTTTTGGTCCAACCAGTCCATACCAAACATAATCCCAAACTAAACTAGTCCCACCTGCCTGCTCCTGGCCCATATACCTCCAAACCTTTCCTATTCATGTTCTTATCCAAATATCTTTTAGAAGTCGTAATTGTACCCACATCCACCGCTTCCTCAAAAGTTCATTCCACACATGAAACAGCCTCTGTGTAAAAATTTGTCCCTCATGTCTTTCTTAAATCCCTCTCCTGTCACCTTAAAAATGTGTCCCCTAGTCTTGAGATTCCCCATCCTAGGGAGAAGTTTTAATCATATGATCCTTTAAATTCCTTTTTCAGGAGAGGCACATTTAATTCTGCAGTTCATTGCTTTGTCAAATAAAATTCTCACAAGTTGTTTCAAGAACTTTGTTAAGGCTACAGGAACATAACATAAGAAACAGGAGTAGACCATTCAGCCCTTCAAACCTGCAGTGTCATTCAACGAGATCTTCTAGAAGAGCATAACACTATAAGAAATAGAAACAAATAGGCTGTTTGGCCCCTCGAGCCTGCTCTGCCATTCAGTAGGATCATGACAGATCCGACATAACTCGTATCCACTTTCCTGCCTTTGCCCATAATCCTTTATTTCCCTACTGATCAATAATCTGTCGGTCTCAGCCTTAACTATACACAAGGACTCTGCCCCCACAGCTCTCTGTGGCAAGGAGTTCCAAAGAGTCTCAACGGTCTGAGAGAAGAAATTCCTCCCCATCTCACTCTTAAATTGGCACCCCTTTATTCTGAGACTCTCCATTGAGGGGAATCATCCTCCCAGCATTTACTCTGTCAAGCCTCTTAATAATTCTATGTTTCAATGAGATCACCTCTCATTTTCCTAATCTCCAGTGAGTAGAGTCCCAACCTGTTTAACCATTGCTCCTAATACAATCCCTCGCTATACCATGGATCATCCTAGTGAACCTTCTCTGGACTGCCTCCAATGAAATGATATCTTTCCTTTCACAGCACCATTATCCTGATCTCCTGATGTTGTCAATATGTACATAATAATACATGGAAGGATCCTTTATGCTTTGTTAACCAACAACTTCATTCACAGGTGCCTATTAAACAGACAACAATTGGAGGACACAGTGCGCCCTAACACACTGGCCACACTGCCCTACATGAAGAACATATCAGAACTGATGAGACTCCTACGACCACTAGGAATCATGGCAGCACACAAGCCCACAGCCACTCTACGACAAACACTCACAAGGATTAAAGACTCCATTCCTACAACATGCAGAACGAAAGTAGTTTAAAATATACCATGCAACGACTGCCACAAACATTACAATGGAAGGAAACTGGCCATTAGTATACGTGAACATCAGCTAGCAGCAAAACGACATGACGAACCTTCCTTAGTATCAGTACACTCGGATAATGAAGGCCATCAGTTTAACTGGGGCAATGTGACCACAGTAACCCAAGCTAAACCAGAATTCCTACAGGCATCGTTCTCAGCGTGTAATGCATTCAACAAACATATAGAATTGGACCCCATATACAAACCCGAAAAGAACACTATCGGAAATGACAATACGCACCATAACGGACCGACAGTGTAAATTCCAAGCTGAGTAGAACAACATCGCTTCATCGGAGCCCTCACTGATGACGTTACCTAGCATGGTGACGAAACATCTGAACGAAAACAAGCCAGCTCGGCAAGCAAGTCAACAACCTCAACCAATACACCTATTTGGCCTCCTGTCTTCAAGAATCTGGAGATATGATCAGTCCCTCTGTTCCTGTCATTGCTCGGTTTTCTAGCATTTTTGTCTACTTCCTTGCCTTATTGCACTCCCAAAATGTGTTATATCACACCAACAGAACTAAGTTTCATTTTCCATTTTTCTGCCAATGACAAGACCACTTATACTTTCCTGCAGACTAAACCTTTCTTCCTCACTCTCAAAATGACTAATTTTTCTATTGCCAGCAAACTTCTTATCACAGATATATACCACGAACAATGAGGGACCCAGTATTGAATCCTGCGACCTCATGAAAAATTGTCCAGCACTAAACACACTTGTCAACCATTATCATTTACATCCTGTCACTCAGCTAATTTTAGATCCAACTCAACATTTTCCATTGGATCCTTGTGCGCTTTAATTTGTCAACCAGACTGCCACGTGAGACAAAGTCAAAAGTATTGATAAAATCCTTTAGATTACATCAACTGCTCTCTCTCCCCACCTTAAAAAATGTTATCAAGTTAATCAGACACGACATTCTCCTCACAAATCCATTTTTTTTAGAATTTCAGAATCCCTACAGTGTGGAAACAGGCCCTTCGGCCCAACAAGTCCACACTGACCCTCGGAGCACCCACCCAAACCCATCCGCCTATGAATACTATGGGGCAATTTAGAATGGCCAATCCACCTAACCTGCACATCTTTGGCCTGTAGGAGGAAACCGGAGCACCTGGAAGAAACCCACGCAGACGTGGGGAGAATGTGCAAACTCCACACAGACAGTCGCCCAAGGGTGGAATTGAACCCGGGTCCCTGGTGCTGTGAGGCAGCAGTGCTAACCACTGTGCCACCGTGCCGCCCCTAAATGCTGACTGATTAATCTGTACTTTTCCAAATGCAGATATATGCTGTCCCTTGGGGTTTCTCCCAACAGTTTTCCCACCAGTTATTTTGGCTGGTGTGTACTTAAACAATCATTTGATCCTTTTTTAAACAATAGTACAGTTCTCTGGCACCAGGATGCATGAATTACAAGGCCTACCCTAGAGCCTGGAATGCTGGGATGGATCTGGCCCAGTGCATGGACAGGAAGAGAAGTCTGGAGGCAGATTCACAGATGTAATGGATATTCAAGTACTCAGGCATCGGGGTGGGCATGGTCAGCTGTTAAAAGAAAACCATACCAGCAACCTGTTATTCTTCATAGCTCTTTAATGCCACGACCGCAAATCATAATGTGTAATAATAGAGGTAGTTTGAGAGTAATACATTATTACAAAAAATATATTACTATTTACAATGCAGAAACGCACCATTATGCTGAATAGGTTTAGATATCTTTAACCAATCTGTTCAGAAATGTTATGACACATCTCTGGAATAGGTGGGACTTTCACCTGGGTCTCCTAACTCTGAGGCAGGGATGCTACCACTCCACCACAACAGCCCAATCTGAACAGGTCTAAACTGACATTGAGTTCACACGTGCCTCATGTTAATAAACAATTACTCCAGTCGGGAAGAGAATCAGACAGGATTCACGTTGCTTTTATGGATGCAGTTTAACTTAAACAGCTTCTTTTTTAGTACCTTTCTCACACCAGAATCATGAAAAGATATTTCAAAATAGGATCAGAAACAGAAATTGTTGATTAAAGTCAGCAGGTCTGGCAGGATCTGGGAAGAAAGCAGAGTTAAAGTTTTGTGTCTGGTGACTCTTCAGCAGCTGGGGAAACCTGGTATTTATGGTAAAGACAAGGTTGTGGGAATAGGTTGGGAGGGCTGAGAGCAGGAGACTCATCGTTTTTTTCTTCCCCTGCCCAGTCTCTTCTCGATTATGTCCGTGATTCTTCTGACACTTTACGTCAGTTTCAGAATTTCGTGTTCGCAGGCTCCAGCTGCCTCCTCTTCACCATGGAGATGCAATCCCTTCACACGTCCATCCCCCGATCAGGATGGTCTCATGGGTCTCCACTTCTTTCTGGGGATAAAAAGGCCTGAACTGTTCCCACTCACCACCATTCACTTCCGCCTGGCCAAATTCGTCTTCACTTTGAACAACAACTCCTTTAATTCCTCTCACTTTCTTCAGGTCAAAGGCATGGCCATGGGTAGATGCATGGGCCCCAGTTATACCTGTATCTTTGGAACATTCCTTGTTCCAATCTTACCTGCACCACCTGCCCAACAATAACTCTTTCTGCGGTACATCGATGAAATCATTGATGCTGCTTCTCACTCTCATTCTGAATCAGAAAACTGTTATCAATTTTTCCTCCAATTTCCGGCCAGCTCTCATCCTAACCTGGTCCATATCTGACTCCTCCCTTCCCTTCCTTGACATCTGTTTTCATTTCTGGGTATAAGCTGGGGATCAATATCATCTATAAACTCACTGACTCCCACAGTTACCTGAACTGCACATCCTCAACACCCTGCTTCTTATAAAGACTCCACTCAACTCTCCAACTTACTCCATCTCCATTGCATCTGTTCTGATGATGCTGGCTTCTGTCTTCTCAGAAATGTCCATGTTTTTTTCTCAACTCAGAATTCCCCGCTACTGTGACCAACAGGGCCCTTAGTTATGTCCCAACTATCTCCCACACATCTGCCCTCTCCCCTTCCTTTTCCTTCTAGAACAGCGATAGAGTCCCCTGGCCCTCTCTTACCACTCCACCAGCATCCACATCCAAAGGACTGTAAGCCACCATTTCTGCCATCTCCAGCAGTATGCCACAACCACACACATATTCCCCTCCCTTGTCAGCATTCTGCAGGGACTGTTCCCTCTGGGACACCCTGATACACTCCTCCTCCACTCCCAAAACCTCCCCAAACTACCCAATTACGCAAGCTGCAACTCCCGCCCATTTACCTCCTTTCTCCTCACCATCCAAGCCCCTAGACAAACCTAATAAAAACCAAAAGAACTGCAGATGCTGTAAATCAGGGACAAAAAAAAAGTTGCTGGAAAAGCTCAGCAGGTCTGGTAGCATCTGTGGAGGAAAAAACAGAGTTAACGTTTCGGGTCCGGTGACCCTCAGAACTGGGGAAGGGTCTGTTCTGAATCTAACTTTTCCAGAATCTAAGAATTCTTGTAAGATTACTACCAGTGCATCCACCAAAGCTATTTCTTTTAAAATTATGAAGTCACTGCAGGAAATGATTGGCAAGTTTAAGCTTCCCGCTTACATTTTGTAGTGCCTAGTCAAAAATTTATATACAAACTGGGCTTATGTGGCACGCTCTGTTATTTTACATTTTGAGAGAAGCAGAAGAAAATAAATTATAGTTGACATGTTATTCTGTTTACTCACATAGTAAATGTAAAATAAATCAGCCTGTTAGTTTCCAGAGAGTGGGAGAAACACAAACAGGAAGACTGATCTTTGCTGTGGTACAGTTCCAACGCTAGTACAGTACACCAGATGGCATTTGACTTTATACAAGAAACGTACATCTAACTCATTTGATTTCAAGTCCCTTTCAGATCAAAGTCAACATTCCATGACTTTTTTGATTTCTTTTGTAAACCATACCCTAGTATTTCAATAGTTATGTTCACATCTGATGAGCTTCAAACCTCCCTCCTGCCCTTCTGTCTAATGCCTTTTCCGATATTACACACAGCAATCTTTGTACTCGATCATGTGTGTGCAGGGAGGGATCAGGTGCAACAGGTTCCTACACTGGATAGGAGACTGTGGTATTTATTGGAATTGGAACTGCAAACCGCGCCACCAGCCCCGACATGATAACAAACCTTGAAGATCACATGGGTGTCTGTCAGTAAGGGTCCTTCCACTTCTATTATGGGCATCGATTGGTCTCTGCTCATCAGCTGGATATTAGTTTCTCCTATAGCTTCCAAACCTTCCATCAGACCAGGCACAGTGCTCCCATCCGTAGGGCTCAGTGCTTTCGCCAAAGTGTCAAATGCCCTGCAGTAAAGAACATGTCACTAGTGCTTTGATCCTACTCGCAGTGTATAATTACAGCAACACACAAGAACTAGGAACATACTCCAATGGCAATGTTTAAAGCCGTGCGATTGCTTGGGGTATCTGTGCTCTTTTAAGAAATGGTCAGACACACGTTTACAGAACTGTTTCTGAATCCCAGCCTCATTCAGAGCTTATGCTAATAGCTGGGTTCCTCAGTGGGACTCAGTTGCTAGGTTAGAAAACAGCTGATATTAGATAGCTAACAATAAGGCTCAGCGATTCACCAGCACCAACCAACTCCGAGGCTGAAAGGCAATAATCAATTAATATCTGTCTGCCATTGAAGCCAGATAGGTGCATACGGACATTAAGCTACTGGCTGCAAAACTACACAGCAATCATACATGTTAACAACAACGTGTACTGAGATAGCACCTGTAATCTAGTTAACACCCTCCCACAAAAAGAAATTTGACAAGAGCGCTGTCACATAAAATCTAACCAGGTCACATAAGGAGAAAGTTTTGAAATAATAGGAAAGCAGTAGCAAGGAACAGAGGTTCATAGAAGGGAATTTCAGAGTCTTTTCAGCTGAAGGCAATGTTCCCAATAGTGCAGCGGTTAAGATTATGGACATGAAGAGATTGTTATGTGAGCAATGCAGATATCTTTGAGATTTGTGGGACTGGTGGAGAATATAGATAGAGTGGAGGAAGTCACAGATGGATTTGAAAATAAGGATGACAATTTTAAAATTTAGACAGGAGCCAATGTAGGTCAGAAAGCACAGCGACTTAAAGTGAGTTACAATATGAAAAACAGAATTTTGTTTCGATGGGTTTATGCAGGTTTTAAGGCGAGTGACAGGCAAGGTAGCATTGGAATAATCACATTCAGGGGTAACAAAAAGAATGGATCAAGATTTTCAGCTTGTTACACCTCACTGGTATAATGTACTGTGAATAAAGCCCCACTATTCCTCAAGTTTTCACAGAAGTTAAAAATTCCTAAAAGGTACTCAGAATTCTCCAATTTAGCTGACTTTCAGACCCAGGTTGACAGAAAGTATGAGATAGGTTTCTGTACTTGACAACAATCATTATTTATTTAAATTAAATCAACTCTAGTGATAGGTAAGCAATAATGGACTATCAGCTTACAGGCAGGTAGGCAGACAGACTGGAAGAAAACAATGGTGTTACAGGCACAGGAAAAGACTCAGTGGTCCCTTGTCACGGGATCTATTGAGATACTTCTAGAACTGATCATAATGCTGCTCCTTGATCTTCCTTTCCAGATGGTTTCACCTGTTTGCAGGAAGCACACGGCGACTGGTTCACACTTACAAAGGCCTTTGGCCGATTACTTAAAAGTCATAGCTTATAGCAATTGCTGAAGGAAAAATAAACTGGTTTTGTTTAGGATGAAAGTGCTTTTTACTGCAGAGAACACAGACAGCTCCTGTATTGCAAAGATCTGATGGCTTCTCACTATCTTATTCACAGCCCAAAGTTCTTCGGCCACCAGGGAAATCAATCTCAGATTTTGGCAGCACAGCGCCTTTTTCATTGATCTTCAGACTAGCGGCCAACTGCCAATCAGCTGCTGTTGTTGGCTGAATCTCAGCCTTTGCCTCCGGCTCATCTGCAAACTACCTACCCCTGCTGGAACCAGCAGTTGTGTAAACAGTGCATACAACAGTGTCAGGTTACTTGCTTTGAAAAAGTGTAGCAATTCTTTAACAATCCTTGGTTTTTAAAACAGCTCTTTTCCCATCTCAGTCCACAACCAAAAATATTGAAAAGACACAAATAAACAGAAAACTCAGAGCATGAGTATACTATTGGCACCTTCAAGTCTGCTCCACCATTCAAGTTGATCACAGCTGCTAATCTAACTCAATAGCCTGTTCCTGCTTTCCCCCCATGCACTTTGATCCCTTTAGCCCTAAGAACGATATCTAACGCCTTCATGAAAACTTTCACTGATTTGGCCTCAATTGCTTTCTGTGCCAGAAAATTTCACAGGCTCACTACACGCTGGCTGAAAAAGAATCCTCATCTCAGGCCTAAATGGCCCATCTTAAGCTGTGACCCCTGGTTCTGGATTCCCTGGTCACCGGCAATATCCTTCCTGTGTAAATCCTGTCTGGCTGTGTTAGAATTTTATCGGTTTCTGTGAGATCCTCCATCGTTCTTCTAGACTCCAGTGAATATAGCCCTAACCTATCCAGTTGCTCTTCATACATCAGTCCTGCCTTCCCAGAAATCATCTGGATCAGACATAGTCTTTACATGCCTCTATCCCTGAAAACGATAGATCATTTCACACATATATTCCATTATAAAATATTCAATACATAAACAAAAAAACACAAGACTTGTATCCATTCATTCTTCCTCCCCTCACTGCCCTTTATAACCTTAGCTTTTCTTAACTCTGACATTCGGAACAATGCCTTTGCAGTTACATTATCTTTTCCAGTATTGTGATATACCTTTATGTAAATGGTTGAAACACCATTTGTATCTGAATAGGTTCATATTGCAAGCTTTAAACCTTTCAGTGAAGGCTAGTTGATTATGACCAATGTAAGTTAGACCTTCCTTGTTTCCATGTCAGATACAAACTTCAGATACAAACTGTTCTATGTTCTATGTTCAAAGAGCTAAAGAGCCAACAACAATCCCAAACTCTCTTAACACTGTTGAGTACTTCTTCTAACACTGATTTAGTTTCTTAGAATCATAGGATCCCTACAACGTGGTAGTAGGCCATTTGGTCCATCTCTATTCTTAGAGAAGTATCCACTGACTTCTCTATTCCTGACTCACATCCTGTAACAAAACCAACCTCAAGTTACTGCCACCAATCGCCTTTTGAAAGGTCTGGAAAGATCAGAGCCTATCATATACACACTCAAAAAATCCCAGCTAATCCCATTTTCAACCACTTGGTCCATAATTTTGTATGCCTTGGCATTGCAAGTGTTCATCTAAATGCTTGTTCTGAGAGTTTCAGCTTCTATCACCCTTATAAGCAGTGAGCTCCAGATTCCCATCACCGTATGAATGAAAATGTTTTTTTAAATCACATCTCCTTTAAACCTTCTGCCCCTGGTCATTGATCCCTCCATCAAGAGGAAATGTTTCTCCCTGTCTATCCCTCACAATTTTATATATCTCAATTATATTCTCTCAATCTCCTGAACTCTAAGAAAACAACCCCAGGCTGTTCAATCTCTCTTCCTAACTGATATTCTCCAGGTCAGGCAGCATCCTGGTAAATCTCCTCAGCACCGTCTCCAGTGATATCACATCCTTCCTATAATGTAGATTTCAGAACTGCACACAATACTCCAGCTGTGGCTTAACCAACCTTTTTTTTTTTTACAATTACAACATAACCTCCCAGCATTTAAACTTTATGCCTGGCTAATAAAGGCAAGCATACTGCATGCTTTCCTAACCACTTTGTCCACTGTTCACACCTTAAGGAACTGGCGTACATGCTCAGCAGTTCCCTTTACTCTCCGTGCTTCCCAGGTCCTACTGTTCAAATATATCTCCTTACCTTCCCGTAAAGACTTCATCCCATTCTCTCAGTTCCTCCGTCTCCGTCGCATATGTTCAGATGAGGCCAACTTCGACAAGGAAGTGTCCGAAATGTCCAGCTTCTTCCTCAACCAAGGATTCCCTAGCTCCGTTGTTGACAGGGCCCTCAACCAGGTCCGACCCACCTCCCGCACTTCCCCCCTCACCCCTGCTCTTCCCTCCCGCAACAGCAATAGGGTTCCCCTTATCCTTCCCTACCATCCCACCAGCATCCACATCCAGAAGATCATCAGATGCCATTTCCGCCACCTCTAGCGAGATTCCATCACCAGACACATATTCCCCTCCCCTCCCTTGTCCGCCTTCTGCAGGGACTGTTCCCTCCGGGTCATCCTGGTCCACACTTTCTTCACCCCCAACACCTCCCCACAGCCCTACGGCACTTTCCGCTGCCTCCTCCCTCCCCAGTATCCAAGGGCCCAAACATACCTTTCAGGTGAAGCAACACTTCACCTGCATGTCGCAGAATCTAGTCTACTGCATTCGCTGCTCACAATGTGGTCTCCTCTACATTGGGGAAACGAAGCGTAGACTTGGCGACTGCTTCACAGAACATCTACATTCTGTTCGCAAAAAAGACCCTCAACTACCTGTTGCCTGCCACTTTAATGCACCACCCTGCTCCCTGGCCAACATCTTCCGTCTCTGGCTTGCTGCAGTGTTCCAGTGAAGCCCAACGCAAGCTGGAAGAACAAAACCTCATTTTCCGCGTGGGCACCCTACAGCCCTCCGGATTCAATATTGAGTTCAATAATTTTACGGCCTAAACTCTCCCATGTTCTAGCCCCCTATCCCATACACCAGGCCTTGTTACCACATAGCCTGCCATTACACACCCCCTGTTGTTAGTCACTAACAGTCCCCATTAACAACTATTCACCCTCCCAGCCTGATCGTTAGCAACTCCTTTGTCTGTCCAACTGTCTTTCTATCTCTTTGGGCCCTACTCTATCGTTTACTCCCTACCCCACCCACCTCCCTATTTTCTGAATACATAAAGTGACGTTTTCCCAGGCACCATCAGTTCTGAGGAAGGGTCACCAGACCAAAACATTAACTCCGATTTTTCCTTCACAGATGGTGCCAGACCTACTGGGCTTTTCCAGCAACTTCTGTTTTTGTTCCTGATTTACAGCATCCGCAGTTCTTTGGGTTTCTATCTCCTTACTTTGTTTGACCGGTCCAAGTTCAACACCTCCACCTCGCAATTATCCAGATTAAATCCCATTTGTCACTGATCATCCCATCTGACCAGCCATCAATATCTTCCTGTAATCTAAGGCTATCTTCCTCACTATTTACCACCCCATCAACATTTATTTTATCTGAAAATCTACCGATCAACCCTCCTATATTCAAGTCTAAACACCTATATAAACCACG